TGGGGGTGTGGCATTTTGTGTGAGAATGAGGGGCTCTGGGAACTGCCTCCCTTTCTCCCCTTGCCTTCTTGCCTGCTGGGATTCTGCCTGCCTTGAGGGGGTGGGCCACTAAGCCTGACAGCTGCTGGCGGGCACCCTGCCATGTTCTCAGGCACCTTGGCTGCACATGACTCTGCAGCCCCAGGGTTTCCTGCTTCACCATTCTGTGTCCCTGGCATGTGGTTACCTGAGTCTGCAGAGGGACATGTGGACTAGCATTGGGCATATGTATTTGAGCTGGACTGGGCTGGAATACCTCCTTGAAATATAATTGCTTCTGGACATAAAGCTCTTTCCTATACATATATGAGTGTCACTGGATTTGTTTCTCTAGACAACCTGGTCTGACACAGGGAGGTCAGTGCCCTTAACCTCTGAGTTGTTCAGTGGTCACTCATGTTCACATGAGAACTGATGCTGGAGGCAAGGTGGGAAAATCCCACTGTGGAGGGCAGGACACTTGGGTCTTGGTACCACCACCCTTGCCAGCCTCAGTTTTCTAACCGGGCAGTGGGGAGGAGGAGGAGGAGGGCGTCAGGAGAGGCTTAGCATTTCAGTGCTGACTCCATTGCTGGGCTCAGACCACCTGCCACCAGTGTGATCGCACTCCGCCCTCCTTCCTCCTTCCCCGCAAGAAATCCACTGGTTCCTGAAAGCAGATCGGTCATGGACAGTGGGATCATAGAAACCAGCTTAGCGATTTGGTCCATGCACGCAGCAAAACGAACACATGTCTAGTTCCCCCTTGTTCACAATGATATGGCTGTTTCTTCTGGGTCTTTGATGCCTGATCCCTGAACCCATCGACACCTCATGATCACACAGGCTGGTGTGCTTCTCCCATATGGACTTCGTTGCTTCTCAGCTAGATAGCCACGGAGTGGAGACCCAAAGCCCATCTGTAGACAATTGGGCATTCCCTTACAGAAGGGTCACAAGGAAGAGACGAGCCAGTCAGGGAGCAGTATAGCACTGACGAAACATACAACTTTCCTATAGTTCTTTAAGGTGCCCCCCCACCCCCGCTCACTATCATGACACCAATTCTACCTTACAAATCCAGCTAGACCAGAGCATGTACACGGGTACAGAGAAGAGCTCATAACACAGGGATTCCAGGACAGATAAACCCCTCAGGACCAATAATGAGAGTAGTGATACCAGGAGGGGAAGGAAAGGGTGGGGGTAGAAAGGGGGAAACAATCACAATGATCTACTTATAAGCCCCTCCCAGAGGCACGGACCACAGAAAAATGGGTGAAGGGAGACAGCAGTCGGTGTAAGACATGAAAAAATAATAATTTATAAATTATCAAGGGTTCATGAGAGAGGGGAAAAATGAGAAGCTGGTACTATTAAGGGCTCAAGTAGAAAGAAAACGTTTTGAAAATGATGAGGGCACCATATGTACAAATGTGCTTGACACAATGGATGTGTGGAGGGATTGTGATGACAGCTGCATGAGGCCCTAATAAAATGATTTTTTAAAATGTCTAATTCCACCCACCAGGAAGTGTAAACACTCTATCGAGTCGTTCGGCTCATAAGGACCCTAATGGACTGGGTAGAACTGCCCCTGTGGGATTCCAAGGCTGTGACTCTTTCCAGAAGAAGAAAGCCTCATCTTTCTCCTGGAGGAGTGGCTGGTGGTTTTGAACTGTGGACCTTGTGGTGAACAGCCCGACAGGTGACCACTCCTCACCAGGAAGTGTAGGCCTGGATCAACGTCACTCATCTGGCAAACAGCTAGTTGATCATTCTCTCCCCCTCTCCCCCTGCCCTCCGCCACGGTCTGCCACCAGGATATACATCTTGTCCCCTAGACAAGCACCGCAGACAGAGACTGGGGAAACAGAGTCGCTGACGAGGACCCTGAACTTGGGTCCTGCCGCAGAGGAAGATGAAAGCGTCAGCTTGTTGAGGCTGCAGGACCATTAAACATGAACCACAGGACCGACCGTGTTGCCCTAGTTACAGCAATTTAGGGAGCTAAAGAAACAGCTTGTCAGCCTCTCCTGATAGCCACCTGGCTCTCGAGTTCCACACAGAGCCGTCCCTGGGCTGGGGCTCGCGGCCTTTCCGTGAGGCTCCATGTGTTTGAATGAGCGTGGAGAGCTGGGCCGAGGCACGGCCATTGCGGCAGCTGTGGATAGCTGGGGAGGCAAGGAGGTCCACCGGTCTGCTCAGTCCTTCCCCCTCTGAGTCCCCACGGAGGAGCTGACTGCCCTGGCTTCACGATGCAGGGTTCATCTGCATGCCACCGGGTCCCAGCCCTGAGGCCACGTTTGTCGCTGTGTTCTAAGGAAGGCCCGGCTGGCAAGCCAGGCAAGAGGACAAGATGCTCTCAGCAGGCAGGCTCAAGAGGAGGTGTAGACAAGGACAGCGCTTGCCATGAGACTGCTGTGAGGCACTGGCCATGGGGCTGGCTTTAAGTAGAGGGGGCAATGGATGGCTTGCACACGGTATTGGCCATGATGCTGGCTGGCAGGTGGCAGTGTGGCTGAGTGAAATGTGGCATGCTGAGGGGCTGCAGACAAAGCTTCCCGGGCGGCACAGGATGAAGTGCAATGCTGAATGGCAGTGGCTGTGGGCGGCTACTGGCTCACCCATCAGGGCCCCTCCAGGGTCAGCTGGTTTCTCAGACAATTGCACCGCAGGCCACAGAGTTCTAGGTCAGCAGAATTAGAGGTCACTTCTGCACTGCCCTCTCTTTCTTCCCCACCTCCTGTGAGGTGGCTTCTGGGAGGTGGGAACTCACGACCCGGCTTCTGCAGCCCAGCTCTGAGCAGCTCTTGTCAGGGCTCATGAGGTTCGGAGGCCACAGATCCCACTGAAATCGCTCTCTGGCCACCATGCCCAGCGGCAGCCACCACAGCAGTGGCGCTGGGGCTCCAGAGGTCCCCCATGCCCACCCCTGCTGCATCTGATCCTGAGTCAGGCATCCTGTGCAAAGCCTCATCCCAAGAGCTTAGATGCTACGGGTTTCCTCCGGCACATCCACGGAGCCCATGCCTCGGGCTGCATCAGCGGCAGGGAGGCCCTGGCCGATCCGAGCTATAAATCCCAGCCAAGAAGGCCGGTTCCCTGCTCCTGCCCTGGACGCACTGCTCCACGCGCCTGGCCCATTTATTTAACACAGAAAGAGAAACGAAAGCTCGACTCAGCTGGAAACAGCAAAGACACTTGGAAGAGGAGTATGAGTGTTGGTCTGAGGAAGCGGAGCCTCTGGCTTGCAGGGGCTCTATCGCGCGGAGGCACCCTTTCTGGAAAGACAGAGAACACCACCTTAGTGTAATCTGCAGGCACCGAACTCAACTGGTTCCTTGGGGAGAACTTGGGGGCACTCGTTTTCTATAGGGGGCGCTGGGTGAGGCGGGCCATGGATACACTCGGCGGCTAACTCTGAAGTCAGAAGTTCAAGTCTACCCCGATCCACTTCTAAATTACCAGCCCCTGAAAAATCCACGGAGGACAGCTCGACTCGGACACATGTGGGGGCCCTTGTGAGTTGGAATTAACAAGTGCACGATGTTCCTACAGCCTTAGGAACGGTCATTGTTTAAGCTAGCAGCCTGGTCCTGATTTGAGCGTTCTTACTGCTAAGCATAGATGTACAGAGCACAGAAGCCATAAGAGACCTCACAGGTCATCATGATTCTTTGTAAGTGCGGTGCACTTCCAATGTTACCCAACACTGCGATATGCATTCCTCCCCCCAATCCCTTTCAACAGCCTGGCGAGAAAGCTCTTTTTACCCCCATTTTACAGGTGAGGAGAAGGGGGCTCAGAGAGGTAAAGCCACTTGTCTGAGCTCACACAGCTAGCAGGCGGGGCACTGGGATTTGAGCCTGACTCGTCTCACTTGATCACCAGCATTCACCAAAAAGCAGTCTAGCTGCCTCTGCCCCAGACTCCACAGTGGGTCTGCTGGAGTGCCGGTCACATCCAGCCCCGTAATGGGCAGCCATGGCCAACATCAAGTCCTCCCCTGGTGACAACACTCACAACAGAGCTCGAATTCACAGAAGGCGTCCTTGGTGCCGGGCCCTGGGCTGCTTCCATCTGACTCCCTCCTCACCACCCTCGCTCCCACGTGTGCAGACGTGGAAACTGAGGCCCAGAGAAGTTCGGTAACCTGCCCAGGTGCCTGCAGTGAAGTCAGAAGTTGGGACCCAGGCAGGCCTTGGACATAGGGCAGTTTGTCATTCTCACTGCAGGGGTTCGAGACTCCAGTACAGCAGGAAGGCCAACAGACTGCAGCTCAGGACCCACTGCCACCCTCCCATCTGCTTTGCCGTGGGCCGATGCGGGCACTTGGCTCTAGCACAGTGGTTCTCAACCTTCCTAATGCTGTGACCCTTTAATACAGTCCCTCATGTTGTGGGGACCCCCCAACCATCAAATTATTTTTGTTGCTACTTCATAGCTGTCATTTTGCTACTGTGATGATTTGGCCGACCCCTGTGAAAGGGTCATTCGACCCCCAAAGGGGTCAAAAGCGACCCACAGGCTGAGAACTGCTGCAGTAGAAAGATGTGCTCACATGAGCATTGGCACCTAAGAGGATTTATAGGAACTGACACAAACGAAGCCCAAGCTTATTCCCACAAGGTCCCCCAAGGATCCAAACAAGCAGCTCTGTGCCCGGCAGAACACTACCTAGAGTCCCTTCAGCAGGAGGCCAGGAGGAGTGGCTTCAAAGAGCGTTTTGTAAACCAGGACCTGTTCTGGTGGACTGAGGCTTGCTATAGCGACTGTGAGCGGGAGGAGACCATCATGCCCTGGGACCTCATGCCCTCAAGGGTGGCCCAGTCACAGGGGGAGTCCCCCACCCTCGGAGGGACATCCAGGAAACTCCAGGTCTCAGGATACATCTGCCAAGCTCTGTGCAGACAGACTGCTTCACAGGTGGATGGACCCCCAGACAGACAAGCCAGGCAGCCCCGCAGACCGGCTCTTACCCGGCAGTATTCATCGATGGGCTTCAGCCGCTTCACGGCCACGTCCCGGATGTGGCTTCTCCGGAAGAGGATCTTGCCTGAAAGAGAGACAACTCATGAGTTGGGTGTTCTCTGGCTAAACTGCCAGCAGGGCTGGAGACACGCCTCCCCGCACCCTTCCCCCAACTCCCCTCAGCCTCCCAGCTCTAGCTGCCCTCTCCACCCATTGTCCTCTCCAGTGTCCATGAGAGAGTGATGGTCACCTTTCCTGAGGGGCAGGAGGTGCTCCAGGCTGAGGGCCCTGGGTCTCTCCTGCACATGAGGCGCCCCAGAGGCTGCCATGAGCAACCAAGGTGCCTGGTGCGGGTCTGATGCAGGATGGATGGCCCATGACGGGTGCGGTTCTCAAGTGTCCTGGCAGATAAACCCAGAGCAGGGCCCAACCCCACACGGTGCTTTTTCAGGCCCATCCCTCCTTGAGAAATCACTGGCTGGGCAGGAATTTCTATTCTTAGTTTAGGTGGGTGGTTATTTCTTGGGCGGGCACGAGCCAAGGGAAGTCTAGCTGCCTCAGTCTGACTGCTCCCCGGCCTCTTAGACCCATGGCCTCCGGACGTACTGGCACTGCCCAGCCGGGCTGGCAGACCTTCTTTAGGTTTGGGGCAGGTGTGTAGGAAATGCCAGCCTCACAAAACTTACCAGCAGGGTCTTCCAAGCAAACCGTGCTCAATCGCAAGACACAATTCGATGCACAGTCCTTTACAGCCTGTTAAACCCGGAATCTGACCTCTCATTCTCATACACAAAGTTTTACATGGCCAGCCTTTCTGAACCAGTGGCTGCCAACATCCAAGGCCAATGACCCCTTCCAGAAGGCCTTCCTTGATTGGCTGAGCTGGGAGTAACCTTCCTCTGCAGAACATCCGTCCACAACACTGTGCCCACTCCTAAGGCCCTGGCCACATGCTGCTGTGTGTGCGAGCTATTGGGGAGCTCCCCTCTGCCAGGGGCCTGTAGGATTCGCCTCAGAATCACAGGGCCTGGCTCAGGCCCTGTGTTCACCCTGTAGCTGGAACAGTAACCCTTGTCCTCGGCCGATGGGTTTCCCTCAGGAGAACCTCTCTCCTTCACGCTCAGCCCCTGTGGCTTGAATGGGGCTGATCACATCCCCTGGCATCAAGGACAGCCATGCGACCCAGCCTGGTCCACGAGGAGAGGCACAGTGATTGGTTCAGGGATGGGAAGGGCCCAATATGGGTCAATGAGAGTCAGCCCTTAGGCTTCGGCTGGTGTCCTATCTCTTGCATGGTCACCAGAGCTTCTAGCCTTGTTGCTGTGGACTGGATTCGGACTCATAGCTACTCACCACGTAGAATGGCCTCACGGGGCTTCCAAGGCCCAGATCTCTGCAGAAGCAGATTGAGACCTCTTTCTCCCACGGAGGGGCTGGTGGGTTGGGATGCCACCCTACCGGTTAGCAGGTGAGCACTCAACCGCTATGTCACCAGGGCTCTTTCAGGAGCTTCTAGTTGTGTTTACTATGGCCTGTGGGGTGCGGGTGGGGGGCGGCTGAGAGACAGGAACTATGGCTGCTATATGGTACGTATTCCACAAATGCTTCTTGAACGATTGAAAGGCAGAACCAAGCTATGGCAACGGGCAGATTCCCTGGACATCGTTAGAGCACAGTCTGTCCCAGTGCATCGCACTTACACAGAACAATGACATTCTCTGTACTATTTAAACCGTTAGAGATGCATGTTCATCATTTTCCCTAAAGAAGTCTCGTGAACGTTATTGCGTTACGTCCACGCGCAACCCTTCTGCCCAAGTGAAGTCCTAGGAGAGTTTATTGCCTCGGTTGAGATTGTTGCCCTCTAAGCAGATCCAGAGACACTAATGCGAGGGGCCAGTCATTCATTTGTGACATGATCCCAGGAACGACTACTGGGCAGTAAGGAAGGGGAGGGGGAGGAGAGGGAATGGGAGACCGTGTTTATCAAGCCAGTTCAGCACTGTGACCCATTGGCTCAGTGCTGCTAGGGAACTCTGGGAGACGAGGAAGAACACACTTCAGAGATAACCCAACTGAGACTGAGGAGGCTGGGATATTTCTCCACCAACTCCCCCAGGTATGAGTTCTAATGAAGGGCTGCCGCCAAGGGCATTCATTTGCACATTTCTGGCCAAGGGTGCTCCCACAGCCAGAGCAAGGCCCTCAGGTGAAGTCACCTTGCATTGAAGCGCCCTATGGCATGTAAAGGGGAGATGGGGAGGGAGATGGAAGGGGCACTGGAAGCAGCTGACACACCACTCCTAACTTCTTTGTCACCAGAGGTGCTAGTCACCAGGCCTGCTTAAATCAGACCGTGACATGCCAAGCATCACCTTGTGGGTCCTTGTCTCTCCACACACATTACGGACCGGAGACCCCAGGTAATTCTTCCTCTCTGCTCTACACACTCCGATTTATTGACAGCAGACACTGAGCAAGTCCTCACTGGCTCGTTCCCTATCCCCTTCTAGAACCTTCTGTGGGTTGGCCTGCCCTCCCTTGCTCTCTGAAGCCAGAAAAGAGGGGCCAGCTCCACATCAGAGAGACAACACTTTGCAGACTGGACAGTGTCATTGAGCTAAATAGGCTCCGCCATGTGTTCTTCGTGAAAGTTGCTAAAAACATGGTTTATCAGCACAGTGGAGGTGGCTGCTTTAACTCAGGGGAAGGAAGGTGATGTCACCAATTTGGGGGAAGATGCCACAGATGTGGTATTCCCTGTCTCTTTGCTTCCTCCCCTTGTTTGGTTGCCTGCCACTTTATTGCTTACACACAGTAGGAACATATATGAGCGGTCATGGGGATGACGGGTAAAAATAAAAGCATGGCATGAAGATACCCTCTCTTGGGACTGGAATTCTGGGCCTTCACCCTGCTGCAGTTATCTGTCAGGTATTGGAGGCTGACCAGACCCAGTGGTACTGACAGAACACTGTCCACCAGAAACAGAAGCTGAAGTGCCTAATTATGCCTGTGGCTATAATCCCAATGGGGAAAGGGTTGATTTTGTTGGGTTGTCTTTGTTATGCTAATGAGGAATGGTTGTTGCAGGGTTTGCCTTGAGTCAGTCTGTTCTGAGATATAGAAGAGATTGAACAAGCGAACTAGGAAGCAGAGATGGGAGGAGATGCCATGCCACATGACTGTCACCAAGAAGCCAGGGAACAAGGATCTTCTCCTAAAGTCATCAGAGAGCATGCCTTCCCCAGAGCCCAGGGCTTCAACTGTGAGAAAATAAACCCATTTGTAGTATTTCTGTTACTGCCACACCAGATAACGAAGGCAGAATTAGTGTGATGCGCTCACGAAGACCCACAATGTAGAAGTCGCTTCAGAATTGAGTAATGGGGTCGAGGCTAGAAGAGTTGTAAGGTACCTAGAACTGCAAGCCTACATTGCCTTGAGGAGACTGTTGGTAAACTTATGGACATCAAAAGCAATTCTGTTGAGGGCTCAGAAGAAAACTCTTATCGTTTTAGAGAAAACATATGGCGTCAGCAGAAGACTATTACTAGAAATGTGTTCCTGCTGAGGCTTTGAAAGGACATGGGGAACAGACACTTGGGCTATGCAGAAAGGGTAGTGATTTTTACGGAGTGGTAAAAAACTTGTCTGAATGGTGTCCAAATGTGTGGTGGGATGTAGAACTTGTACACGCAGAAGTTGGCTATCTGGGTGAGACATTTCTAAGCAAGACCAAAGGAGCTGCATGGTTCTGTCCTTCTACTTCTGGTAAATCCCAAGCGGAGAGATGGACTTAAAACTAAACTGTACAGCGTGAAAGTAAAACTTAAAGAGGTGGAAAATGCAGCTGGACAAGGTAAGAACATTTTTCCTAGGATATTCATTGGGGGGCAGAGCTATACAATGTTTTGTTGAAAAACAAAGCAGGTGGCCATGAATCTAACCAACTATCGCCGCAGAAAGCCCACCAGTTTAGACCGAAGGGGACAAAGACAGAGCAAAATGAAATCCTGCCGCTTGGAATTCTACTGGCAGAAAATTGGCTAAAGGAGCAATATCTCCTGTCCTCCAAGCAAAGAAAAGGACCATTGTGGCAGCCGCTCAAAGCCCAGCAGAACCGTTGGGAAGAGGGTGAGAAGTAGGGCCTGCTTGGTCTCCACGGCGGGCCCTCAACAGATGCACTGTGAGCCCCAACCGCTATGTCTGTGGCTATCATCCCACTTGGGAATGGGTTGTCTTTGTTAAATTAATCTAGCAGGATTCGTTGAGGGTGTAGCTCTCTTTTGAGATCTAAAAGGGATGAAATGAACCCGCTGAGACGCGAAGGTGGAGGAAGAGAGATGCTTGTGCCACGGGAAGATCGACAAGAAGCCAGGGAACAGGACTTTCCCTGAAGTCAACAGAGGAAAGGCTTCTCGAGAGCCAGCGACCGGGTTTGGGACATCTACCTTTCAGAACCAGGAGAAAAGAAACTGCTCTTTGTCAAAATTCCCTTTGAGGGATTTCTGTTCCCGCAAGACTGAATAACGAAGACACCCAATGACTCGGGGTCAAGCAGAATCTAGCAGGACCATGAAGGATTCCTCTTGAAAACCGAGGGACCACAGAGGAGACCAGGCACGGACTAAGGCCCACAGACCCGCATGGAGCCAGAGGTCTCGTTATCAAAAAGAACACACCTGCCCTAGCCTAGTCTGTTGGAAAACAAAAACAGAGCAGTGAGGGGGGTACAGCAGCTGGGTCTCCCCCCCCCCCCATCTCTGGGCTAGTCAAAGACCTGACTGAGTCTTATGTTCCTGCCTGAGAGCTGTGTGCATGTATGAATATGTATATTACATTAAAAAAAAAAAAACCCCAACAGTTTCAAAGTCTCAAGGGAATCAATGCTAACTCATGGCGACCCTATGTGAGTCAGCACGGAATCATGTTCCACCAGGTTCTCAGTGGCTGCTTTTTCAGAACATGTGTGTGTGTGTGTGTGCGCGTGTGTGTGTTGCCAGATGGTTCCAAGAGGAAGGGGTGAAGGTGAATGAGGTACGGGGGTTGGTGGGCAGGGTTTGCCTGACCCCTTAATGACAT